ACAGTAGAATGTATGGTAGTTGGTATCTTATTTCCTTATTTTCAGACATGTTGTATTAGTTTATCATTTGCATTGTAGTTGTTGTCTATGTAAGAAGCATGGTTGCTTGATATGTAATACACAATCAAGATCAATCTAAGTTATTGAAGTAGAAAGGATTTTCTCTCTCGTTTTCTTCTTCCCTATTCCTCCTCTGTTTTTCTCCTCTGTTTTTTCATCTTCACACATAAAGAAGATTGTTTGGTTCACCTCTATTCTTCAACGTTAGAGGTTGTTGTTGTTGGAGCTCATTAACAAGGTTGACAGGAGCTAACAGGCAACACCATATCCTACCACTATTTGAACGATGATACCAGGACTTGCATCTGATGGTTATAATGTTTGTCTTATATCTACAGAATTTTTGAAGCAAAAAAAAAAAAATGTAAAGTCAAAAAATTTTGTGGGGTCACTTGACCCCACATGACCCCATGTGAGTCCATTCATGGCAGAAAGTGAATTTAGATCTTCCTATTGAAAATTTGAATTTAGAACCATCGGTACGTAAATGAAGATGCAAATGTGATTTTGAAGATACCAATTTTACACCACCATTTGCTCTAACATTTCTGCAAAATCTAAAAACTTGTTAATGAATTTAGCTATCCGCGTCAGTATGATATGAGATTCATCTCTGAGGTGAATAATCGAAATAATTGCAGTTAAACGACAAACCCAATTAATTTCAATATTTAGTTATTTACAATTAAAAATTGTATTACAGATTAAATTGACTCGTAGGTTAAGAAAATATTGTTTCAAAACTAAACTTTCAAATCGTTAACACATTATTTTGAGAAAGAGAGAAATATTTGAACTAGAATTGTGATACGGACCCGGATAGAGTTGAACTATCAAACCCACGACAATTGATTCAGAACCCAAGATAGCCAAAGTAAATCAAAGTTTGGATTGATTCGAAAATTAACGAATCAAAATAACCAACAATTCAATAACGAAAGTCAACCATTTTGATTGAATTAATGAAGAATCCAACCCGAAAGATTGAACGCCACAAGAATCACTCTTGATAAGTTCACAATTGTCCAATGAAGAACAAGAAATTTGAAGCAATAATTTGCTCTTGATTAATCTCTCAATAATAAGGTTCAAAGTTTTTTTTTTTCAATAATGAAATAAAAATCCTATTTATACTAACCTAGAAAACTAGTTTAATTCGTGCAAAAATCGTCCAAGATTACACAATTATAGTAGGAATATAACTCTAGCGGAATAAGGAAAGTTTTAAAAAAAAGAAAATTCCCTTTGCCATTTGGTCTATGCAACCGCATGGTTGTGTGCGGTCGCATAGACCACACTGCCTCCTGTTGGTTCGTCCCTGAATGGGTGCATGCGGTCGCATGCATTGGAGTGCTATGCGACCGCATGGTACCCCGTTTGTGTCCCCTATTCCGTGGCTTTTATCATGTGGCTCCATTTGCATTCGGCCTTCGACTCCTTCATCAAAGTTGTTCCTTGGCTTGTCAATAATACCAATTCATCTACCGTTGCTTGAGCCAATAATCCCATCATCTCTTTCACGTGCTTGGTTCTCGAACGTGTCATCGATCCACCTTTGACTATCAACGGATCTTTCCCGGGACTCTGCTTTGACTAGGCCATGCTCATATCATCACCTCCCTCTTCAAAAGAATTCGTCTCGAATCTATACCGGCATCAAACAGAGAGAGATCAAAAACATTAAATGTCGCCAAAACATTACACTCACCTGGAAGATCCAGTTTGTAAGCATTGTCATGGATCTTTTCAAGCACTTGAAATGGTCCATTGCCCCGTGGTAGTAATTTTGATTTCCTTTGCTCCGGAAAGTGCACCCAAACCAATCATTGGGTTCAAATGAAACACGTTTCCTACCCATATTTGCCTACTCTGTATAATGCTTGTTTTTGTTCTCAATTTGCAACATTACCTTCTCATAGAGTGTCTTTACCAACTCGGCTTTCTTCTCCCCATCTTGTTCGTACCGAATGACGTAGGGAAATGTCTTAATGAACTCCATCTATCTTGCATGTCCTTGACCCTGCAAATGTTTCAACGACTCATGGTTGGTGTAAATCACGAACTCCCTTAGCCACGGGCAATGCTATCATGTTTCCAAAGCTTGAACAAGTG